AAACTATTCAAGTGGGTGAATCCAGCAAGGGAAAGAAAAGCAAACTAACTCTTTTGAGAGGTCCAGAGACATCAAATGCTTTAAGTGTTTTGGAAAAGGACATGTGGTCAGTCAATGTCCCAACCGAAATGTTATGATAGTACTTAACAATGGATATGTTGTATCAGATTTCGAAGAACCTATGTATGATGAGAAACCTAAAGCAATCCAAGACGAAGAATCAGAAGAGAAAGCAGACCATGGAGAAATTCTTGTTTTAAAAAGGTGCCTACAATCACAAACATCTCAAGAGGATTTACAAAGAAACAACATTTTCCATACAAGGTGCCATGTCAAGGACAAAGTTTGCACAATAATTATAGATGGAGGGAGTTACACAAACGTAGCCAACACTCTTATGGTTGAAAAACTTGGTTTGCCAACATCAAAGCATCCCACTCCATATAAACTCCAGTGGCTCAATGAAGGAGGTGAGTTAAACGTTACTAAATAGGTTCTAATTCCTTTTTCAGTTGGTAGGTACAAGGATGAGGTACTTTGTGACATTGTCCATATGCATGCTAGCCACATTCTACTTGGTAGACCATGGCAGTATGAAAAAAGGGCCATTCATGATTGTTATCATAATCAATATGCCTTTAAGCATGAAGGACGCAAGGTAACCTTGGTACCTTTGACGCCTAAAGAAGTATAACAAGATCAGTTGCATATGCGAAAAACTGTACAAGCATGGCGCAAAGACAAGCCGCTAATGAAGAATGAAGAAGAACGAAGCATGAAACCAAACTTCTTCATAAAGAAACATGATGGCTCATTGTTGGAAAATGAAGGGTCTCCTACGAAAAATGGTGATGGTTGGGATTCAAAGTCACAAATCTTCACCAAGGATCTTAATCTTCAAAAGATAAGTACCCCTTTATTTGAAACCTCATATCTCCTCACTTTTCAGGACCAATCACATGAAAGGTCACTTCTAAAAGGGATATCCCTAGAAGAAGATCATTCCCAAAAGGTACCTGTTGGTAAATTATATTCCAAAGAAAGGCCTAAAAGGAGATCTTGTGAAAGGGCACCTATTGGAAGAACACATTCATTCAAATGATGCTTTCTTTTAGCAAAGAAACATGAAACTATGCAAGGTTTTGATTTGAGGACAAATCACCCTAAAGAAGAGGGGATGATGCAAGCACGTTTTCACCTACAAATAGAGTATTGTTGAACATTTTTATGTTATATTTACTTTATACTAGTTTAATGATATATGCTATTATGATACATCTCATGTTAAGGTTACTACTTATATAATTAATAAATAACTTAGCATGAACACATCTTCACAATAGATGGACATTTTTATTTAGATATGTTAAGCATGTTAGAATAGTGTTGCAATCATATTAAGCATGATTCATCACATTTATTTAATGGCAACATACTTATCATTCATTTTATCATCTCATATGCATTCATTTTAGTTCTTAGGCTTTATACATTAGCTCACACATATTATATGATGATATGTTTAGCTCATGACATGCAATCATAGCTCACAATACCATAATCATGCATGACAACAAGGTATTTAGCTCATATCAGCTCAATGCCATGAAATTACCTTGTTTCCTTGGGCATATAGGTACATTGGAGCATGATACACGTTGGGGTAGCTTGGTGGATTATTTGGACATCATATGCAGCTTACAATCAGCTTACAAAGTACATGGCAACTTGTGGAACACTAAGGAAAACTCAACTCAGCTGGAAGAGCTTAAGGCCAGCTAATCTCATCTAGTTGGACTATTTGAAGCCAAGTTACTAAAAGTGACATCAAGTGTAGTTGAATGTAGCTGAATGTGTTGATATGAAGCTTATAAGGTCTCGGCTAGGAAGCTCATTCACAACCATCCCTTTGCTTGCTAGCTAGGTACACACTCAAGAAAGCTTGGAGGAAAACCATGCACGCCCAATATGATGCACATGACCAGCCTTCATCCTATGCACAAGGTTGCACCACAAGGTTCCCTAGAACACCCATGTGCGTGCCATATGACCAGCAACCATGTGCCTTGCATGTGATCTCATTTAGGCGCCAAGAGGAAAGGATACATCACCATTCGGCCAAGCACTCCCTCCTCTTCAATTTGGCACCAAGATGAATAGCAAAGGGAACCATTCGACCAAGGGTTATTACCCTTTATTTAGGACCGAACCATCATCTCTTTTAGCATTTAAATTATGTCTTTATAGGGAGACACAAGGGCTGGCCGAACCACCATGTACCTATTCGGCCATGCCCCTCCAAAAATTATAAATAGGCTTTCCTATTTCATTTGTAAGTAGACCTTTTTGATTAATTAAAGTGAGATTATTCTCTTTGCTTAAGTCCTTGTGACTTTTATCGACTTATCAAGTAAATTATTTACTTGTGGCGTCAACCCCTTCCCTTTGATACTTATGGTTCCTATCTCCATATAGATAGTGGGTCCAAGTCCTTATTACCACCCCTTAAAGAAGCAATATAAAGTTTGGGTCTTTCTCTCTATAGAATTGGTTCTTCTTTGTGTCTTCTTTAAGATACTATCCGCACAACCATTCCATTGTTTCATCAACCAAACCCATAGTCATAACAACAATCTTCCGCTACCATCTCTCATATCATAAATAGCCTACCCTACTCACCTTTACATCTACCACCAAACCATCTGTTTTGAGCCATTCACTTATGCAGGTTGTTTTGCTTCCTTCCTAGATCCACAATCAATCGAAGAGGTAGAATTACCTTATATCAAGACCCCTCTATACAAATGGTCAAATAACCTTTATTATTTATTTGCTATGATCATTTTACTTTTTTAAACCTAAATCCTCAGTTGTTTCTTTTTTTTCGTCTTTAAATTTCGTCACCATTATCACCAAGAAACAAGATTTATTATGAATCTTAATAAACCAAACAATAAAAGAAATAAGAGAGCACAATAATAGCAAGAAATGCAATACCAAAACTATACTCTGATATCCAACTTATAGATAAGGAAAATAATAAAGAACTGCTTCTATCTCAAAGTATGGACATAGATCTTTAAATGTAAAACTGGTTGGTTTTTGGTACCATCTATAGAGGAGAATTAATGTACCTCACATGCAGCGAGAATTAGTTGAATACATAGCGATGCCTGTTTAACCGTGGTAGCCATCAGGGGAAATAGGGACGGATTATAAAATTTAAAATATAATTTATCAATAGAAAACGGATTATCAGTAGATAATACAAGTAAAATATTTAAAATATATGATAATTTTATTATAAAATTTAAAATATAAATTATCAATAGAAAATAGATTATCAGTAGAAAATAAAAATAAAAAATGTAAAATATATGATAATTTTGAATTTTCAGAGAAGACAATTATCCTCCTTCAGTCCACCATCCCTGAGAGCCATTACCATCCTTCTTCGTCCTTTGTGCACTTGAAAAACATACGTTGCTATTAGATCTACATTCTCCCTTTGCTTTTTGTTGAACTATAAGAATAATTTGTGTTTTCTTTTTTTATTTATTATTTTCATTTTCCTTTCATATGTTGCAAAATATATGATTGACCTTAGCTGAGATTTGAGACAATCTACTCGCATGCGCTTTTCTTATTTACCGAACTGATGGCCATAGAATGAGTAAATAATACTAAAATATATATAATAACACACATTTACTTGAAAAATCTTGAAAGAAAAATTCACACAAAAAAATTATAATCAATATTTAACAACAAATTACAAGACTGTTAAACGGAAATATTGAAAGCCTTCCCATCCTCTACATATTTCTATACTTTTTTTGTCCTTTTAATTTACTTTTTTATCAAACAGATCACACCACAAATTTTTCAAACTGAATCAAATGAAATTCAGGTCACAAACATAGTCTTTTATCTTCCAAGCACTAACAATGGATTGAAAAATACCCAAAATCACTGTAACCTCACTGTATCATCCTTGCGTCTGTACGACTTGTATCCGTCATCATCACTTTCATCTAAAGAGTCTTGTGCAGAGCTTTGTACTGCATGCAAGAAAACCCAATATGTAATTACATGTTACAACAACTAGCTTCAGCCTTAAGAGAATCATCATTTTCCATTGAGCAATAATGGTATATTGTAACAGTAAAACTGTTCAAAGTTGTTCCGACTCTTGATTTAATGTGATCACGCTAAGCAAATCACAAGTTTTTAAACAGAGAGAGACTTACTTGTTCCGATGGAGGTGGCTTAAACAATGTCTGTTCCAAAGCCTTAGAGTCCCATTCAATCGAAAACTCTTGTGCTATGGCATGCATCAATTGAAGCTTCATCTCCTTTCTAGGAGGCTCCGCTTGAAGTTTCTCTACAAACTGTATATAAGCAATTATTTGGTTAGTACTTAAATGAAGGTCTAATGATAAAAAAAATATCTTTAATTGATTCAATAATCATTTTAGCATTTTCTTTTTAAAACACTTTAGTCCTAAGACAAAATAGCCCATGGTTAGATGAAAATCATTAATTGACTGACGATCAAAATAGCCCATTTTATTTTTATTAAAATTATACATAAGTGATGATATGACATATGTTACATGTACATAAGTGATGACATTGTATATGACAAAATAGCCCATTTTCTTTTTAAAATTGTACATAAGTAATGATTTTACATATGGTACATGTATATAAGTGATGACAATGTATATGACACAAGTCACGTCATTAATTTGAACATATAGAACTTATCACGTCAGAGACAATAAATGATCATTAATCGATTAACGATTTCGATCCATTCCGAAATGAAAAGTTGGGGTTAAAGTATTTTAAGAAAAGAATAAAAACCAAAATTAATATTTTATCAAACATTAATTGTGAATTTTAATATTGTCTTAAAAAGAAAAGAAGAAAGCAACTTCAAGCCATCCAACGTATCTATTACCTCTCGATTTAAATAGGGTTCTAAGGGATTTCCGTATTTCTCAGTAAACAACGTTCTAAGGGTGCGTACTTCCGGCAAATCGGCAAATCGGGCTGCGGCATATATCAGAGATGCTACTGCTTCTCTGCACTCCTCGGGGCACTCACTGTAATGGAAAAGAAGTAGATGAACACAAGAGTATTATAATCAAATATCAATGGAGACGTGCATACCTCTGTTTTTGCATAAGAGAGAAGTGCTTTGAGATGCACTGAGAAAACTGCTCTATGAATTTGTAACAGGCGGTTCGGTTTTGCTCAATCATTAGACCGTCAGTCTGCAATAACGTACATAAAGTAGTCAGGAACTAATAACTTATTTTCCAAGTAATTAAAGCTTATATCTAATTAGATGTATATAGGTATGTGTAAAATGTGCATTTAAACGCACAAGTTTGGTTCAAATAAGACTTCCAGTCCTATGACCGTTTGATGAACCTCTTCCTAAAGCATTTAATCGGAATTTTGGTACATAGATATGCGTGCTATAGCCATCACGAGAGCCATCGAAAGCAAAGAGCAAAGAGCAAAGAGATAAAAGAGAGTGTGGAGTATAAGCTTCTTCTATTACTCTGAAGAGAAGAATGAATAGTTATAAATGAGAAGGAGAATGTAAGGTTGGTCTCATCCGGAAGACGGTCGTCTTTCCAGTCAACGCACATGAGCCCTGATGGATGCCATGAATCTCAGGAGAAGCAAATAATTTGAAGGACTCCATCAAATAGATGCTTACAACGAACAAAAATGAGAAGAGAAGAAAAAAGAAACGATAAAATATTAAAAAAAAATCATTATAGGTATGCTCCAGCACATTCCAACACAAGCAAAACAAGCAAGCAAACGTGAGGGGCTGTATGTGAATAATTATACATATAGAGAGAGAGAGAAAATTGGGGGGTAGGGAGAGTTGCTTGGGAAGCAAGGTATTAAGAAAACAAAGAAAATTTATTATCACTGTTGGCTACCAAAAGAAGAAACAGAAAACAAAGGCCAAATTAGTATTACCCTTCCATAAGCATTGTAATCAAGATCTTTCTTCAGAAGCTCAGCAATATCTTTCTTCAAAAAGTTCTCCACCGCATTTCTTTTCTTCTTTATAGTCTCGAGTCTCACCTTATTAATTTTCAAAGCCGATTTACTAAACAAAAACGAAAACCAAAAGTCTATTAATGAATCAATAAACACAATGACCAAAATTCAATTCAACCAGAAAAAAAAATGCAAAACGAAGCTCTGGGTTTTCTGTATCTAACCATTTTGAATAGAACTTTGGCTTCAACATTAAATCAAACATCTTGTGAACTGAGAATCAAAAAAAAAAAAAAACTGCTTTGTCTTTCCCTTTTTCCTCTTATCTGGGGAAAGAAGCAAGGTTATAGTAAGAGATATGTACACCCGCAACCTGCAAGTCAGAAAATCTGAAGGGATAAAAAGCAAAGCTTTCAGATAAAGATTTGCAGTTGAAAAAGAAGGAAAGGAGGAAGAAAGAGATAAGGGGAGGAGGTGGAATGGTTGTGTATTAATAGCAATGAAAAAAGAAGCTGAAAAGAGAAGCAAAAAAGGTTTCTGTTTTGAAAGAATCTTTAAATAGGATGAATGTCAACTAAATTTATATATAGATTACATATGGTTGAAAATATAAGGAAATGAAGATGGCAGGCAGCTGGTTATCTAGTCTGAAACAGAGGGGAAATTCATTGCCACGCCGGACGCTGATGATCCGCCGCTAAAAAATATTTACGCGCCATTCCTTGTTTTCAGTTTAAAAAAAGCAGGCTCACGGGTTTAAAAATATATGGAGTATTAATATTTTTTTGTTCAAGTAGTTATATAAATTAAAAAATAAATCAATTAAGCTTTTAAATTAAAAAATAAATCAATTAAGCTTTTAAATTAAAAAATTAAATCAATTAATTTTTTTTATTAATTTTGAGTGTTATACCTTAAATATTTGTTTAAAATATTACTATGACACTATAAATATGTTTGGAATATTATTATGTTTTTAATATTCTTTTATTAATTTTAACTCAAAGAAGATGAATAATCAAACATAAAAAAATATAATTTTTTTATCTTAAAATAAGAAATGAAAAAAAATTCAATTATTTAAAAATAAAATAATAATACAAAAATGGATGTTAGTTATTTTTGATAATTGATATACAAAAATATAATGGATGTTAGTTATAATTTTAAAATGGTATACATGTTTTTTTCTAAAATAATCAAATTTAATAACTTATTATATCTTTCAAAAAAATCAACTTATATATATATATATCAATTTTAGAAAAATTGGGCGGCCATGGCCCCTCTAGTTCTTAATAATCTTGTCATTGGCCACATTAGTAGTTCTATAAATTTTTATCAATGAGTGATCAAAATGAAACTAAAACATATATTAAACATGATTTTGAAGAAAAAAAACAAATTAATAGTGGGTAAACAAAACAGAAAAAAGTGATAGTTAAGCTATTAAATGTATTGTTTATCCTAAAATTTATAGATTTAAAAAATAAAACCTATTAAAAATTAATAAATTTATAAAAATACTACTTACAATATTGTGAAATGATATGTGATATCATTTGATCGAAAAATTTTAGGATTAACAATGAATATTGATCAAAAAATAAATTGATGAAATTTTAAAATATATAAATCAAATTGGATGAAAAGAAAACTTGGATAATTAATTAATTTTTGGGTAAATTACGTCAATGGTCACTGATATTTGGGTAAGTTTTCGTTTTCACCACTAATGTTTCAAAAGTTACAAATCGATCACTAACGTTATCGTTTGTAACAAATTGGTCACTAGCCGTTAACAGTCGTTAAGAGGTGTCACGGAAAACACACGTTGAACGTTAGCTGCTTACCTGGATGGTTTGATTGCCATAGTGGAAAACCTCATTTCTTCTTTGACCGGTGTTTTACCAAAAATTTACCAAAAAAATATTTAAACAATAAAATGAGGGGGGGAATAAAAGGCAACCCGTCGCTGGGAACCATCGTTTTGGATGAATCCTTTTGGATTGTTGACTGAAGATACTAATTTTTTTATCCATATTATTATTATTATTATTATTAGTATTATTATTTTATTATTATTATTATTATTATATTATTATTATATTATTATTATTATTATTAAATATATTAAATAAATAATAAATTACAGACCAATTACAACTGGACCGGCCCAGTTACAAACCAACCAGAACCGGTCCAAATCCAACCAGAAACCCTAAATACTTGGGTTTCCAGTTAGGGTTTCCTAACCCTAATTTACCCAGCCGCCTCAGCTCACAGCCGTTGGATCTGGCAAGATCCAACGGTCCAGATGGTGCCAGAGGGAAACCCTAGGGTCTGACACCCTAGGGACACGCAGCCGCCGTTGCTATCTCGCCGCCTCCGCCGCTGCCACGTCCCAACCGAAGACTCCAGAAGATCATATACCAGCCGTCCACGCCATGGCTACTCGGTGAGTCACCACTGGTAGTCCGGTGACTCACCGAGAGCCCTTCTTCGGACCGGTCCGACAGCTACAACGGTGGTGGCTATAAAAGCCACCACCCATCTGCGAAAAAAAAGAAAAAAAAAAGCAGAGACAGAAACTAGAGACAGAGACAGAAAAAAAAACAGAGAAAGGAAAAAAAAACAAACTATACCAACGATCTCAGTCAACATCAACGCAGCAAGAAAAAAAAAAAAAAAAAAGAGGAAAGAAGCTTACCCTGTCAACGGAGAACCACAACCGTCGCCGGATCTCATCAAAACCTTCGAAAAGCCGAAGGTATTATTTTAGATTTGCTCTGATTGGGAGCCGTTTAACGGAAAAAAACATCGGAACCGTCATTAGGACGGTCCGATCTACATTTAGGATAAAAAAAAAAATTTCCGGCCACCGAAGACGGTGGCCGGCGGCGGTGGTTGACGGCGGATGAAAGAAAAGAAGCGAGAGAAATTTCTCTCTCTCAGAGAAGAGAGAGAGAAGGAAGAAAAGAAATGAAATGGTTGGCCCTTCGGGCCAGCCGGTTTGGACTCTTATAGTCCTTCCCGAACGACGTCGTTTCGGGAAGGACTATGCGCATAATTTTGAAATAGTTAAACCCCGTCCGCAGTCCCTCGTATTTGTAAATTTTACATTTTGGTCACTAAACTGAATTTATAATAATTTTAATTCAGTCTTTGAATTTTAATTTTATTCATTTTAGTCCTTTTTATTAAAATAATATTTAGGATAAATGACAGATTTAATTCCTTAATTTTAATAAATAAATTTTTTATCCCTAGTTCATATTTTTAATTAATTTTATTATAAAATTTGAATTTTAGATAATTTCATTTTGGTCACTAAATTATTAAATTAGAAAATAAAATATTTAATCCCTATAATTTCAATTAATTAGTAATTAGATTTAGTTTTATTTTTATTATAATTTAGTTATTTATATGTTTTCATTTTACTGCCTAAAATATATTGTTTTAGTGATATTTTATTTTTTATATTGTTAAAAAAAAATTTATATTCATAAATATACATATAATAAATAGTAATTTTTTTAAATATTTATTTTAATATCGAAGAAAAGGACAGTCTTAAAACAACTGGATGTCCTATTCTGATATTTTAAAATTAAAAAGTAAACATATTATTTAAATTAATATTTATCAATATCAAAGAAAAGAGCTGTCTTAAGGCACCTAGAAGTTCTTTTCAGATATTTTTAAATAATATATTTTTGAAATAATAAGATTAAAAATTAAATATATTTTTGAATTTTTTAAATTTTAATAATAGAGACAATTTATAATTAAAAAGTACCAATTTTTGGGCATTGTAGGGGTGCTAATCCTTCCCTAAACGTAACCGACCACGAATCCCTTTTTATTATTAAAAAGAACGAATTTTTGGTTATAAACGCAGATCAGTTTAATTTTTTTTAATTGATGTTTTCTTAAAACTCTTTTAAAAGATTTTTTTTTAGGTATTCGACCTACCTGACCCAAAAGGCCGATGGCGACTCCCAAATTATTTTCAAAACCATTTATTCACATCACTTTTCCCGCCAAATTTAATATTTCGTGCCCGGACAAAAACCGGTTACGACAGCTTGGCGACTCCACTGGGAACTTGTCAAACTTTTAAAAAAATCAATTATAAATTGTCTCTATTAATTAAAAATTTATATATTTAATTTTTAATTCTTTCTTTTCAAATTTTTTATTTATTTATTATTTTTATAATATTTATATGTTTTATTTTATTTGCAAGTATTTTATTTCAGTATTTATTTTTATGTCAAAGGTTTGAACATTTCTCCTCACACACAACACTTGCATTGCATTACATAAAGCTCTATAATTGAGTTGTCCCTTTTAAGTGGAAGTGAAAGCGACGTCTTCGTGAGAATTTATTCTCCGTGTCAGACCTAGCAAGTAACTTTCGGGGTTCATATGCTCTATGTCTTCGTGAGAATTTATTCTCCGTGTCAGGCATAGAGAAATGTATCCCCTCGAATTGAACTCGATCCAATTTAGTCTGTAATGGACTAGGATTGAGGGTTAGCAACCCAAGGGGGCACTAACAAGGACAATTCGGGTACCTTTTACTCCTAGATCTGAAACCTTGCATATAAAAAAAAAACCTTAGAAACTCTTCCAATCCGAAGTCATGCCGAAATTTTGTCCAAAATAGGTGTACACACAGGAGAAATGAATTTTGTCTTTTCTGTTAATTTATTTATTGTTTAAATTACATGTTTATTTAAATTATTTAAATTCAGAAAAGCATGTTTAAATAAAGAATATTTATGTAAATGTTATTATTAAATTTCTTTATTATGTAAACTAATTTATTTTCTTTTTGTGTGTTCTTTATTTTTCTGTTTGCATTGCATCATACAGGATAAAAGACATTGATCCTTGTGTTAATTGTCTCATTGGAAAGCCTTCATCTATGGATAAAAAGTGTTCAAGTCAAGTAATTCTAAACTCAGAAGTAAGACAGTGGGCTGAAGATTT